ACATGAAATAGTAACATTCGTATTAGTATTTCCATACATATTTTAGATTTACACCTAGTGCTGTACAAAACATTTCACTTTGAGTTTTTAATCATCATAATTTGACTAAATGACGGTACGATACCTTTTATAATCTTGCCATATATTGCTTTTATTATAACCAGACCATTTTTTCGCTCTTCATCGTCTTTTATTCTAGCATAAGTTGCTTGCATTAAGTCTTGAGCTGCCATAGCTTCCTTCCTAGAATAGTAGTAAAATAATTGCTAATATATTCGTAATAAACGAAAGAATCTGATATAAGTTCAAATTACGTATCCAGAACGGTAACAAGGCGATTAGTTGATAACTCCACATTACAATTAACAAAATCAATTTCTTATCTTATTATTAACTGTCAACAAACCAACAGTCTTATCAATGTATGATATTTCATATAATAATACAGAAACGTTTATTATAGGACGTAATAGGAAAGCAATATCAATACTTGATATGACAGTAGATGATTAACCTTCGGGTGTTTAAAGGGTGAATGTGAACTGGTTTTTAACCTGAATAAGTCTTCTAATCAGAAACGAAACTAGCTTGTGACCAAGTCCATTTTTTGTAATAATACAAGATTGAAAAGATGTAGTTTTTAACAGAAATTGTAGATGGAAAAAACACACTTTAAGAAAGTGAAATTAGTTTTATTCGCGGTAGCGATTCATGATCGGTTGGAACCGATAACGAACCGAATTAGAGCGCAGGTTCAGAACCGATTCTTCGTTCCGCGAGCGCTTTAAGTAGTACCAACAGGATTTTGGTTCCTTTGTGCCTAACAGTAATTTCGCTAAACTGAAATGCAATCGAGCGGAAAGACGGATTTGCTGTATTTTTTATGATCATGGTTTCTGCGAAAAGTGGCAGTTTTTTATTACTTTGAATAAAAAAGAATTATTGAGGTTTTTTTATCGCATTTAATCAATTAATTTTTWAAATGCCACTGTACAAAGGCAATATCTTACATCTGCTGTATCTGACCTGMATTTTKTTTTGTACATTTACAGCTGGTGGTRCAATTGGTACCACCGACGACTTTTTGTCTGCATTAAGTTTCTTAATTGAAATKTATGGCTTTGTATTTTGTATTCACTCKRAGGCGAAAAATTGCTAACATATGTARGCAATTCCAAGTTTATTTTTACATTGGCGTTCTGATTAAAATTAGTTAATKAAATGCGATATAAACAAACTTGATAGTGATTTACAAATTATTTTATGATAAAAAAATTGTTCTTGATTTTTCTCAGGCAAAGTCACTTATCAAATCGTCAAAATCAATCGATCGAAGTAAATCATTGCTTAAGCCTTAAGCTTAACCAATGGAGCGATAGTTGAAAATAGAAAAATAAAAAAATAGTACTTAGTTTTAGGCGCAAGTTTAGTTTTAGTTTTTTTAAAGGACGGCGTTTCGAGTTTGTCAGGCCGCGGGTGAAATGGGTAAGAAGGTCAAAAAACGGATTTGATGTGTTTCTTTATGATCTATGGCGAAAAGTGGCAGTTTTTGGTTAATTCGAAAAAGAGAGAATTATTAAGTTTGTTTATGTAATATCACATTTTAAAAATAAGCTTGGAATTGCCTACATATAGTGGCAATTATTTCAAATGAGATCAATGAGAGAAATGAGAAAGTATAAACAAATATATAGACAAATAAATCCATAAATTTGAATTAGAATAAGAAATGCAATGCTGGTGGCACCCATTGTACTGAACCAGTTCTTACTGTACCGCGAACATAGTGAACTTTGTGTTCAGAACTAGTAATACTTTTACCGCGAACACCCAATGCCTCTATGCATATGCGATCAGTCCCCGAATGCCTCTATGCGCATGCGATCAGTTCTGAACGAGTTCTGAATCGACAGCGCGAATAAAGCTTATATATGTGGTAAGATTGAGTGAGTTGTTTGTTGGGAGTAAGAAACAAAAATAAATTATCATTAATTTACAAATTAATACATATCGGCACTCGCTCAAACGATAATAATTGATTCATCAGGCGGCTGATGTTGTATAATACAAACCTTTTTTCCAGTAACTTGTTAAAATTATTTTGCTTTTGCTTCTCCAATTTTTTCGACTTTTCCTCCTTTAAAAATGGTTCCACTATACCCTTCTTAACCACCAGGTAAACTACCAACGGTACAATGGTAGCGTAGAACACTGGCGACGGCATGATTTCTTCACACAGATGAATAGGGCATGAATATACTTGATTGGCACGAGATAATCTAAATTAACAAATACACACTTGGTTAAGTTTAATTATTAATGGGCACATTTTAATGATTAAAATTATTTTTTATTATACAGAGGRAATGTTCGTCTTGTAACATTTAATCAAGTTCGAAGATGTATTCTTATTTTGAAKTATTGTGGYGCGAGTGGATTTACTATTGTAAGACACTGAACAAACGGTTACAAAAGAAATATTTTATGAATTGATAACAGATAACATTATGATGTTACGATACTTTGTATGTAAAAGTATTCATTTGTCAGAAGGTGGTAGGTACGTAAACATTTCCAATACCTTTGAAAAAGCTAAAAGCGTTTTATTTGTTYTCGGTTTTTTGCTTTAAGCATAAAAAATATGCTTTTATGAAAAAAGTGGCTAATGCTAAGCTAATGGTTTGTACTCTKACCATCGACATTTTGTACAAAAATTTATCACAGATGCAAAGATAGAAAGGGGTCAAGATCTAGATCYATTCTTATATTTGTAGCCGCTAACGTACCTAATTTTCAGTTTTACACCTGCCGGAACTCCACATACAACAGAAAACGACAAATTGCTGTGTTTGGAAATTCTTTTTTCTGCACCATACTCTACAACTCCACCAAATGTGCCGAATCTAAAATTGTACATAAAACCATAAATAAAACAACTACATTTGATATACAGGGTGAGTTTTTTCGAGGACTAGTACAGGGATTTTGGAAACTACAGCAGCATAATAATTAAACTTGAAAACTATAAGTTTTATTGCCAAATGTTTTCAATAACTCCACCATTATTATCAATGCAAACAGTGCAGCGATTTAAAACTGAATAAATTTCAAATGTTCTACCAACAGCTTCTTTAAGTTAATTTAAATTGCCGTAATTTTTTTTATGTGTTTTTGTACGGTTCCCCACGAAAAAAAACGAAACTAAAAGATCTGGTAATTGAAGTGGCCATAAAATAGGACCGTTTATTCCAATCCAAGCGCCAGAAAATTCTTCGTTTAGATGCTCCCATAATTGGGCAAAATTACGCGAATGGGCTGCATCATGTTGAAACCATTGCACCTTAAGCCGTGTTTCTAAATCTAAGTCGTCCTTGATTTATATGGAGCGCTACGTTGGCGTTCAGTGGTTGACTACCGCGGAAAAGCTGGTGTGGAAAAAAAGCGCCACTGATAGCAATGCATTGCTTCAAGTGGTGGTGTTCACACGAGTCAATTCAGTGTTTCTACCTAAACGCATGCTGATGTATGCTTCGCTCATATTGTCAGTTTTAAAGTGAGCTTGAATAGTTCACAACATTTGCTTCTTTTATGATCTAATGATCACAACACCTGTCAAATTTTGAAAAAACCAAAATTAGTTTCGAATTGATCTTTCAAAGTTGTAACTCTTTGACCATTTAACTTTTTTCGTATCTGCTGTAGTTTCCAGAATCCCTGTACTAGTCCTCGAACAAAACTCACCCTGTATATTAGTTATAGAAAATGACAGTTTACAATGCTGGATTAAAAATTGCTTCAAAACTTACTTTACTGCTAATTTCAATTTCAGCTCTTGTGTAATTAATTTCCTCGCGTACTGCAACTGTATAAATGAATGTGGTACTCCAACTTGTATGGAGAAATTGTACCTGTTACACTCTAAAACATAATTAATCATTTAAATACCTTTCTCAATAAGTTATAAAAAAGTAAAATATTACGTTCTAATTATTCTACTACTTTTTACTCACATACGTAGGTTAGTAAATTTAAATTGAACTTAATCAACATACATTACCTGTGTCTCTAATAATTTGAGTTGAAAATATAGATCGAATACCACCATGATAAGACACATATCCTACTGAATGTTTGTCTATCTGCATTGCAAGTGCTAAAGAGGTAAAATCTAAGTATCTGATTTTCTACTAAAAGCACACTGAGCCTTACTTGACATAATGCCTGGTCGAACTCCTTCTGGCGTAACTTGCAAAATAGTACCGCCGTTCCAGAAGAATCGTTTTGTTAATGTTCTGTATCCTTTCAATGATAATGCCGGACCACTACCTTTAGATATTTAAAACAGCATAATATAATATTTCGCTGTTGACAAAAAATTCATATAACAAAAGTAACCTTTAATATCAGCTTTAAAATTAAATTAATTTTTACGTATTTGTATAAAAATTAACTTACTTATGCAGTACTAAACAGATTATGTACCTCAAAAAATGTACTAGGAGTGGCCTACACATAACACAAAAACTATCTACGAAGGCGGTCCGATAAGTACTTAGCATACAAAAAAACTGAAAATTTTGGAAAAGTAGCCATTTATTTCCCAGCCATGGTCCAATCTGGAGAATACGGTGAATGGGCACAATTTAGCCCTTGTGGTGATAGAAGTAAATAGGGCTTTTCATGTTTTGGTAAATTTCCAAAAAAAAAGCCTTGCAGACGACTTTTTGAGTTTTAGCCATACTATAATTATACTTGTTCGCTGAATAAAGTTAAATGTTTGTACCTGCAGTCATTTCGATTTCGGCCCAACTCTTATGGGAAAACAAGTGTCTCCAGCTCATATTCACTCCTCCTCCGCCAGTCCCATTTTGGGTGTGTAGCTGCCCAGATAACGTACAAGTATCCTTTTGGGTCAGAGGAAAATCTACTCCTTGTGAAAATTGCATGGAGGATACCTCAATATTCGGTAACGTTCCGAGAAACCCACTAAAATAATGTAATGCAATTAATATTAAGACATGTCTAAATGCAAGTAATAATATAATTAAAGCAGCCGCAGCAAAAGTTGATGCCTCCTCTCTTAGAGAATCTAAAAAAGCATGGGACTGCGTAGCGTTAATCTTGATATACAATGCAAAACGGCTAGGAAACGCTTTTAGTTTAGCTTTTAGAAAAGTTAGTATTTCTAAATGTGGATATTTTGCAGACTAAATTGATAGGGATATTATATATATTTTTATTCTGTAGCCCAAGCTTTGTGGTGACGAAAATTGATAGAACGGAAGAGGTAAAGCCCTTCTTCAAACTATTACTTAATAAATGAACAAGCACACTTGTTAGACTTCATCAGCTGAGCTTAGCTTCATTTTAATCAATTAATTCAAACATCAAGTACACTGATCACACAGCATCAGCGCATCATCTATAAATTTCAAAGAAAAAGTATTAAAAACCCAACATACTTTAATCAAATCGTTGTTTTTTAAATTAATATGAGACTGTTTTCGGAAAAAAAATTAAAACAAAACATGAATCACTAGTTTATCAGATTTTTGGTAAATATTTATGAAAAATACATTTTGAAATTTAGGTAGTTTTCGTCGCTAACCGTTTGTATAGCGCGTCTAGCTCGAATACTTTCCAACGTCTCCGAATACCATAAAAGAATGCGTCGTTTGAGCTGATCCCAAACAGGTTCAATCGCGTTAAGGTCAGGACTACGTGCTGGCCGCACTAAACGTTGAATACCAACCTCAATAAGATATTCGCGCACGATCATAGCCGGGTGCGGTCTGGCATTATCATCCATAAACAAGAAATTGTCGCCTATGTGAGGTGCAAAAGAACGGTATGGTTTTCTAAAATATGTTGAATATACTTCTGGAAATTTAATGATCTTCCTCAGATTACTACAAGGTCCGTACATGCCTCCAAAGAAATGCCACCCCAAAATATTATTGGGCGACCAAGGAAGGCCAGTTCGGGAATCATTCATGCTTAGCTGTATCTTTCTCCTAGTCTTCTCCAAATAAAAACTAGGTCATCGGAAGATTTTAAACCAACTCGAACTTCATCAGTAAAATAGACTTTCTTCGAATCATCCAAATCCCAATCCACGTGTTCTCGAGCAAACTCAAACTTAGCTTGCTTGTGGACTATGATTAAGAGCGTTTTGCACCCAATCCGGATTCATTGGGCCTTCTTCTTACCGTTTTGGAAGAAATTGCAACATTTGCGGTATTTTGAATTCGATTTTTTATCTCATTTCCGGTAGGAAACCTTACAGTCGTATAAAACGAATGTCCACTTGGTTTGTGGATTTTGGTCCGCCTTGCCGTGGTCGTCTAACATGGCAACCTGTTTCCCTAAAACGCTGAAGACATCGAGCAATGGTGGTATGATAAAACCCAACCTTCGGGCGACCTCACGTTGGGAATACCCTTCTTTCAACAAGGTGACAATTTTGATGGCATCAAACTTACTTAAATTTCTTCCTGGCGACATTTCAATGCGAATACACTTTAGTTGCACATACAAGTTAGGAAAAAGCAAGAAAATTGAAAAAAAAACAGTACCACGATTGCTGACAACAATGATGAGATGTTGCAAAAGACACAAAACAAGTAGAAACATGAATTGGAATGAGTAGAAAGTTGGGATGGTCTATATTTAACGTAACCGGTAAAATAACAGTGTTCCTAACGTGTAACCTGAAACCGTAGTTCCAGCTAGCCGATTTAACAACGGGTTGCTTTTTGAACCGTCTCATAAAACCGAAACAGTGGTTCGCATCAACACAGAACCGATGCGGCACCATCGAGCAATCTATCCAATTGCAGCAGTTTCAGTAACCATTTGGCAACGGAAAATATGTTTAGTTGCGCTTTGCCTTGATAGTGTTTATTACTTTTTGCTTATAAGAATTACTCTTCAGTTCTCCAGGACTCATAATCGTTCAGATCAGCGAAAAATTGTTTAGGGGCAGCAATGTTGAATTATTCAGCATTTTTAGTCAATAAGTACTTAGTAAGCTGGCCATTTTTAAATATAAATTCAGTCAGAGATGAAATAAAAGTTAGTTATAGTAATTACTCTTGTAAGGTCGACATATTTTTTTGCAAAGTATTTTTTGGTGCTTCCAAAATTAACTCGGGTAATACTTCGTCCAGGTTTGCCAAACACTCATTTCTGTTTTTTGGTATTGTGGAGTATTTAATGTTATTGTGAAACTAAATGCGAGAGATTGTTTTCTAAAGCGGGTGCTATCATACTCAGTAAAAAGCATCTGCAAAAATGTATATTGTTAAATGTTAATTCATTTTTAAATGAAAATTAGACTTTTAAACATTTCCGCTTATAAACCGTATATTTTATTTAATCACTCTAGTTTATTATCAGTTTTTTTGTTCTTTAAGTTGTTACTTCTGACCCATGTTTTGTTTTTGATTTTAAAATAGTTTATTTTAAGTTTACCAATGTTAATAATTATTTTTTTATTAAACTAAATCACACATATCATCACTGTTTCTACTACATCACCAACATTGCGCATATTGAATGAAAAATTTAAAAAGTAACATGATCCTTTTGAAACCTATTACCAAAGTGAAACTGGAACGTTGTAACCTTGTTGTTACAGAAAAATAACCGTTTATCACCTCTAGTAGAAAGGAATCAAAAACAATTGGTACTGTACAATGTTACTATAGATACGATATTTACCATCCCACTAGGGAAAAACTGATTTATTCGAAAATGCGTTAGGTGGTGCGCTAATTAGTGCGCTAACAATTAGGTGGTGCGCTAATTTTGTTCATCAGTGTATAAATTTTAGAAGCTTAACTTCATTTCCAACCTTAACTTCATTTCCATACAACAGTCATACAAACCATAACAAATTTAGTGGAATTCCTATGAAGTAAAACGATTTAAGTTTTTAAAGAAAACGATCAACGATCAAACGATATAACATAAAAAAAATTAAATTGGCTTAGAAATGAATAAGAACTCCACAAATAATTATTCTGAGAGAAAGCACTGTTGTACAATTAATGTGTCAAAATATCTCATACGGACGACAAAAATAATAAATTTGTTTAAACATCAGAAAATTCCCTGGATGTATTGAAGACGCGTACCGAACTTCATATGAATATCTACAAAAGTATTACAGTCGTTATAAAAAAATATTTTTTTCCGAAACATTACGACATCTCAATGATACACACACATATCTATATAAATTATGAAGTTTTCCGTAAAATGGTCCGCAGAATGACCCTCGTAAATATTAATATATTAGCTGTATAAATGTTTTTTATCTTTTTTACAGAATTAAGTGATATTCAACGGCCATTTCTAAGTCAGTCAGAGTGCAGTTAGAGCATAGACATATTAAGAACAATTGTAATCATTAAAATATAGTTTTTAATAAGAACCTTCAGGAATTACTATTCTTAAGTCGTGCAACAATATACAGGATATCGCATTTTAAATATCAAAGTTGTTATTAATTTTCAACAAGAGCGGCAACGTCATCTTGCTGAAAATATTTTGTGGCGTTTTTTATTACTTATAAATTTACACATGTTCCAGATTAATTTAAAAACACTTTTGCGAGCTTGAGCGTTTCTTCCCGGTAATTTCAAAATATTTAAGTAGTTTTTATTTTTAATTGTTAATAAATTAAAAGTTTGACTTTAGCATTATTCATGTAAGTGGAGAAGTTTGATTTTGCTGAATAAAATACTAATTATTGTTAGCAGAGTAGTCGACAACATGTTTAAATTACTTGATTGCAAAAATGATATTAAATTCGCGGAATGTACAGGGTGTTTCCTCATAAGTTTACACCCCCTAGATTGTTTATTTCAAAAAAAAAATGTGAAAGTGATCAACGCAAAAGTTGTGCAATTTTTTAAATAGGAATTTAAAATAAAAATCTGAAACACAAAAATGTCAAAATTTTACAGTTTTTTTTTAATGAAACACCTTATACAGGGTTGCTCATTAGTGCGTCAAAGTGCGATATCTCAGTAAATATGAACTTTACAAGAAAATACGTCCTACGAAAGTT